GAGAATATTATTGAAGTGATCAATCAAAAAATTTCAGAACAACAGGTAAACAGGAGAGTGGAAGGATTACCTACTGCATTGCTAATCTTTCGTGGATCAAAACAGCCTTTTGCTGTAATAGGACAATTGGACTCAAAACCCAAAAAATTTCTTTTGTGGGAATGGGTATTTCTCAGTCACCAGTTTTCGAAGACATTTGTTACTTTACCTGAAATGCTTGCAAAAGTCTGTCACAAAGGCAAGCTCCGAATGGTAGAACTGTCAGGGAAAGACTCAGATTTTCTTTATGTTCCACTGTCCAAATCTCAATTGCGTTATTATGATTTACATCTGTTTGATTTTCAACTGGTTATGTCAGATTTTACAGGCAAACTGATAACCCATCTACCAGCAATTCCTTTTCTACAGTTTCTTTCTATCTCCCAACCCAGACTGAGAAATAACTTTTCTACTAGCCCTTTGAAGAAAGCTGTGACACTGTTCAGAGACGGCTTGGGGAAGTCTAGTAATGCAGTAGTAGCTTGGTTTGAAAAAGGAGAATGGAAAACAGATGTTCATCAAGTTGAAGGCTCATCTCAGATTAACGGCGGAGGGGGTCAGACAGAAATGCACACAAATCAATATGATTGGCAAAAATGTCCGCTTTATTAGAGGAAAGGCAGCTTATATGCTGCTTGTGACACAGAGATGTGATTCTTCCCCAGGTTACATTGGATACATAAGGGAAACTACCACAGGTGTACAGTACTAACTGGATAACAGCAGGTGTCCATAAAACTTGTTTTCCTGCCAAAATAACTCCACCTTGGCACAAGGCCTGCAGCCACATTAGTGGCACAGTATTTTTTACTGTCTGCACCCAGCCATGCCAAGGTAAAGGTCTCAGAAATGCAATTGAAATTGTTCACACAATTTCTGTCCTCCGACAAATCCCCTGTTGAAGTTTGAACAATTTAAATTGTATTTCTGTAACATTCCTTATTGTATCCATAACATTTCAATAAATGCAGACATACAATAACACTACTATCATTAATAAACTTAACAACCTATTGACCCCAAGATGTGTGCTCTCAAAGTGTGCCTAAAAGTGCTTCTTTACATGTAGGGTTTATTCTTAAAATTTCCACTCCGTCCAGAACATCCTTGGAAATGGAACTCCATTAAACTCTGGGTCATATGTCTTCTGTTATACTTTTTCACACCTTGGCCCTTAAATAACACAATGACATAATCATATATTAACACTGGATCTTCTGTTTCTATTGCACTCTTTGCATACCATTGTCGGAGGGCAGAAATTGTGTGAACAATTTCTATTGCATTTCTGAGACCTTCACCTTGGCATGGCTGGGTGCAGACAGTAAAAAAATACTGCACCACTAATATGGCTGCAGGCCTTGTGCCAAGGTGAAGGAGGAGTTGTTCTGGCAGGAAAACAAGTTTTATGGACACCTGCTGTTATCCAATTAGTACTGTACACCACAGTATGTTTTCCTTATGTATCCAATGTAACCTGGGGAAGAATCACATGTCTCTGTGCCACAGGCAGCATATAAGCTGCCTTTCCTGTAATAAAGCAGACATTTTTGCCAATCATATTGATTCGTAAGCAATTCTGTCCGAGCCTCTCCGCCGTTATACCATTCTATTGCAGCCCGGAGAGTTTGTTCAGGATTTTTTGCCATTTTATGTAAAGGTATCGGTGTATTTGTTTATCCAAAAGTGTTTGTATATGTGTAAGTGAATATTCACACATATACATGCATACATTTTCATTCATTCACTTTCACACGGTGGCCACCATCATTCAAACACACTTCACACAAACATACTTTTGAATCTCATTTCACTGTGTCTCATGAAGTACGAGACCATACTAATTCTCTAGTACCTTTTGGTTTGAAAGCTTCTCCACCAAACAGGTAAACTTTCTTCCACCAGTACCCAGTGAATAATCTAAGATCTTTACCTTCTATAATTATATGCTTAAACATACTAACAAATTGTGCTCCAACAAAACTAAAAATACTGTGCCTTAACAACACTAAAATGTGCTCATAATGCTGAAAAATTGTGTTCTTGTAATACTTACTTTAAAGTTCGTACAATACACTCTCTTAAATCCTTAATTTCATGTGCTTAAAAAAATTATACTAAAAAGGTGTATATGACTAAAAAAACTATGTTTATAATACTAAAAAGAACTGTGCTCCAAAAACTGTGTTCTAACAATATTGAGGAAACTGTTAGCCACAACGGCTCCTGATGTTACCATTGTTACCCGCAGAAAACAGCATCAACCTCATTCTTTCTTTCCAAGGTTTCATTCATCATGCAGGCAGCTACGAACACCTGTGTACAAAAAAACCCTTAACATATGAAGCAACTTTTGCAAGTGAACTGAGGGGGCTGCTACCTGTTCTCTCCCCGTTTCTGTCTTGCAAAAGTGTTTTACAAATTCTTAAATCACTGACCCCTATACCAAATACATAGCATTGCCTGGCAGTTTGGTAGTATTTTTCAAAGTGGACAAGCACTCCACCCTTTAAAAGTTTTTTCTAGTTTGGATATGATATAGAAGGTTATCTCAAAAATTGTTATTGCACAATCACATATAATCTTGGGTAGACTCGTAAGCCAAAAGGTTTCTGTCATATACTGATTCCAAATAATTCTTGTTACCTGCTGTAACACTACTGGGATGAAACACATACAAATATGAGCACTGCAAAATAATCAATATCTGATGTAGAATTCTGAAACCACACCAGTCTGCCTTATCTTCACAAACATCACTGGTGTGACATGAACAGCACAGAAACAGACCATTGTATACAGTGACAACCATTAGCCCTCAGGATGTTACAAGTTCTACAGCTTTCCATTGTCTTCTTTTCCCCTTAGTGACACGTCTGCCCCATCCCAGGAGGCAAAACCAAGCACAATTGCAGACACTCTGCACACGGCATCATATATGTCCTTCACTTCTTGAAGCCAGGACTTAGCTTTAGCTTTTACCTTTAACACTGCTGCCAGAACAACTTGGCAGCACACAGTTCAGGAGAGTTTGTTTCCAAATTTTGGCTAAATTCATAATACAAATGTAATCATATTATAACTTTCTATGCTGGAGAAAAATGCAAGTTGTGATTCCAACTCTGATCCTTGCTTGCTAACAATAGAATAACACATACAAAAAGAATAAGTGGAAACACCTTGTTGGTGACAGAGATTTCCTTAACTCTGGAATAGTAGAGTCAGGGATCTATTAGGCCAAGAGGCCTGCTATACAAGAAAGAAAAAACCAATGCATGTTGTTCTTTAAAATGCATGGCCTGCATTGAATGGTTAATGCATGGCCTTAGTTATTGTTCTGATTAATACAAAGATGACAAAAACAATTAAAACAGTTTCTCCAATTTACTGTATTTTGTATCATCTGCTCATTCTCGGGCTAGGCTCACCGGAGCCACAGATTGGCTCCTCGTATTCATGACAATTACTAACGATAGATTGAGAATGAACATTTTTGATTTGTGATATAACCAAACGAATAAGGATTATTTGAAGGCATAGGAGAGGTATTGTTAGTCATACCAATTACAACACCAGGTGCATCCCAGGGCTTTTCAATACAGACCATACATTTCTTGCACTTGGGAACTAATTAAAGATTTTGTGTCATTTTCTCTCTTTTTCCAAAATTATAATTAATACTATCTCAGCAGGAAACTAAAAATATAACCACAAAATTAAAAAGATAACTACAAAGGTCTTTCTCTTCAGAATACCGTAGAAATGTTGCCCACTACTCCAAGAAGGAAGGAAAAGTTAAGTACGTAAAAGTTAATTTACTTACTTTTCAATATATTTAGCACGTTTAAGTCTACGACAGTGAAAAAATACTGTTTGATTATTCTTTTCAATACTCAGCTTTAAGCTACATGTGCAGTTCAGAAGGATAGAGAAAGCCAGATTCCAGTTTGCAGCCAGTTCCTTAGATGTGAGCTACATTATCTGCTCGTATTTTTAGTTCTTTTACTTATGAAATTTCGGTAAGAGAACAGAATTCACAACATAAGCAGCACAAAGGAAAACAAATAACTAGTTGTAAGATCATGTAACTCCATAATTGTGGAACAACAGCACAGAACAGGTAAAACCCACACCTGTTATATTAAAATCCTAAATCACTCACAGTTTTTAAATAATTCACCGAATGTAAAGCTAACTAAATCTAGCTTTGAGATCGTTATATTGGGAGGCAAACTAGAAAAATTTTACTAAGTTCAACCTGACTCCAGTAACTCAGTTTTATTGCAATCTCTACTGATTTCCTGACAGATTATCATGTAATCTCCAGACATTTCTGCTTTATAAATCAAATGGGCATAAAAAGTTCTAATTCACACATCAATGTTTTTTGAAAAGTGTAATTTAGTAATTTGCTCTTTTATCGATATAAATTAAACACGCACATTTTGCATCTTGTTAGGTTATTTTAAAAAGAATCTGAAATTCATGTAGTGTAACTGTTGACATAACATCAGTGCCAAGAGAGATAAGTCAAACTTCACAGCATAGTGTGTGCCTGAGTAGTGTTTTTAGAAAAGCAATTAGGCTGTATGCTATATCAGCAGTTATAAAACATTTAAAAACGTATAATATGTTTCATTTGACCAAACTGCTCTGTACATACTGTACGAATCCACAACAGAAGATATATATTAAAATCTGAAAAAATGTTCTTGCTGCTGTTATAAATAGAATATTAACAATTGCTTAAGCAGTACATGAAATGCAGCTCAAAGATGCAATTCTGTCACAAACACAGAAGAAAAAAAATAATTCACTAAACTTGACCAAGGAAAAGAAATAATATCAGACAGGAATATAAACTAAACATACAAATGTTAAAATCAGCTGAGTAAACCTTTTTAAACACAATTCTAAAGATGTGATTTCCACTGTCACAATCACTTCTCAGTTTATAACAGGAAGATAGAGAGATGTTTTATCTAAGAATTAAGGAAATCCTCAGCCTGTCGGCTTTCCATTTATCTCATTTGCAAATTTGTAGTTTTCGTAAGGTAAGTTCTACTCTCTCCCTAGTTCTGAGAGACTGCTGGAGGTGGTTTGAGTCTCACTCAGTTGCTAAGCAACAAATGATCTCTATTGTGTGAACCAGTTGCTAAGCAACAAATGATCTCTATTGTGTGAACCTTATGTCTCCTCCTGCTAAGGCTGAACACGATATTTGGGCAGAAGGTCTTTACAGGGGTAAGATGTAACTAAAAATAAGGCAATTCACTAAAGCTTTTATATAAAGATTCATTCTCTGGGATTGCATGCTAACTTCTAGGAAAACACAATCTTTTAGTTTTAAGTTATGTACAAGTGAGTAGAAGGACTAAAGAGAGAGATTCTGCTTTCTCTTCTCAATTACTGACATGCCTGGATTCTGCGGGGCTACTCCCCCGCAAGCCAGTCACCGCCGAGCTGCTGTTCCCCGGGCCGCTCCGTGCGCCGTGCAGCTCCCGGGAATCCCCGCAGAAGTCTGGCTGGCTCTGCAGAGGTAGCTGTCGGCGTTGCCGCTTGTCCCGCCGTCGCCACTGTCGCTGAGGTCCCTCCGCCGCCTTTTGCCGTGGCTGCCAGCGCCAGCACGCCGGACTCTGGCAGCTGTTTGAGTAATCCTAAAGGGAATTCTTATGCCGTTACGTGTACCTGAGACACTCTAACGGGAGGAAATTCTCCCAGACTCTCACCTCTGGGTTTTAACAGTTACTAACAAACGTATGTTCGCTTCTCCACACACACAACCCCCAACACACACACGCTAGCACGGTACCGTTAGCAATACAATGAGCTCACAAAAACATTGGACACACAACACAATTAACACGAGAGTTAACAAAAATACGGGAAGGCAGTTCTCTAGCCTGCCTCTCCTGTCAACGAGAAGTGGCACTTTTTCGGTGTTGCTCGTTGTGCTAATATAGCATCTTCTAATGCAAGGCTCAATAGCTGCTACTTCTTTTCATATGTACCATACCTGGAAACGGTTTGGTTTTGGGGTTTTTTGTTTGTTTTTTGGCTTTTTGGGGTTTTTTTGAAAACAGCGTCTGTTGTCATGGCAGCGATCCACAGTGGCTTTCTTCCGGGTTTCATGGAGGCTTCAGGCGCCAGCGATGCAGCGCCATCTAGCGACACGGAGGCTCCTAGCAGCGTTGGTCCAGGCGACACATGCGCAGTAGCAGGCACAGTGAGGAGCGACACTGCCGACTGCGCAGCCGCAGTAGAGAGCGGTGCCGTTGGCACGACTCCAACTTTAGTCTACGCCGCTACTGATTTTCCTGCAGCCCCTAGACTTTCTGCTGCTACATACACAGTGCTAAACGGAGGTGATCTCGCTGCTTTTAAGGGTCCTAGCATTCGCAACTTCGCAGCCGCAGGCACGGGGATCTCCCCTACAGCGGACCGATCGGGGCGGGGACTTGCCGTAGTCCCGCCATCCCCCGACAGAGCTGTTTGAACAGTTATGAGTCCCCGTCGCTCAGAACTTAACTCTTGTAGCGACTCAACTGCCAGACGCCAAAATATAGTACACTTTCTAGCGGCGTCCGACCCCGTAGAGATCCCGTCCCAAAACAATGCCTTTATAGCGTCCCTTGTGGACACCTGAAAGGCGGTCCGAGCAGTGGGAAGTAGATTCTTCGCTCTCACTCATTTTATTAATCCCTTAGGGGCTTTTTCATCAGAAACAGGCTCTCCTAGAGAGATCATAAAGCGGAGGAGCGTTTCCGTCGCTTCGTCCTCTGTGGATAGCGCGGGCCCCATGCCTCCTCCGTTTGCCTTACGTTCCTGCAGAACTCGGCGAAGTAGGACTCCCTGTTAAACGGGCGCCAGATAACAGCGGAGGGGGTCAGACAGAAATGCCCACAAATTAATATGATTGGCAAAAATGTCTGCTTTATTACAGGAAAGGCAGCTTATATGCTGCTTGTGACACAGAGACGTGATTCTTTCCCAGGTTACATTGGATACATAAGGGAAACATACTGTGGTGTACAGTACTAATTGGATAACAGCAGGTGTCCATAAAACTTGTTTTCCTGCCAAAATAACTCCTCCTTCACCTTGGCACAAGGCCTGCAGCCATATTAGTGGCACAGTATTTTTTACTGTCTGCACCCAGCCATGCCAAGGTAAAGGTCTCAGAAATGCAATAGAAATTGTTCACACAATTTCTGTCCTCCGACATCAGATTGCTGAACTCTCAACCGTGGTAAGAGCGTTCCAGCTTTTTCCACAGCCTCTGAATTTAGTATCAGATTCTGCCTATGTTGTAGGAGTTGTGAGTCGCATAGAAAATAGTTACTTAAAAGATTTGAACAATCAAAAGTTGTTTACACTGTTTAAAACATTGTTACTATTAATCCAACAGAGGAAACATCCTTTCTATGTCACTCACATTAGATCACATACATGCCTCCCAGGCCCACTTACAGAAGGGAACGCTGTGGCAGATAAAGCAGCAAATTCAACTTTCCCAGTTAACTCAGTACCTACACCTAACAATTTTGAGAAAGCAAAAATTTCGCATAACTTTTTCCACCAAAATTCTAGAGCACTGCAAAAAATGTTTCAATTATCTAGCTCTCAAGCCAAAGCCATTGTGTCTGCATATCCAGATTGTCAGTTGGTAACTCCAGTGAGATCTGAAGGAGTTAATCCAAGAGGCCTTAGCCCCTTAGAACTCTGGCAATCAGACGTTACACATGCCGCAATTCGGCAGATTGAAATATGTACATGCATCAGTGGACACTTGCTCAGGACTCATTGTTGCCACTGCACATACAGGAGAAAAAGCTAAAGATGTTAAGAGACACTTTTCCTCAGCATTTGCCATAATGGGCATTCCAAAACAAATAGACAGAGAATGCCCCAGCATACATTTCTGCTTCCCTTAAAACATTTTTCAATATGTGGGGAATAGTTCACACCACTGGCATTCCTCACTCTCCACAAGGCCAAGGGATAGTAGAGAGAACTCACAAATCTTTAAAAGATATACTGAAAAAACAAGAAAAAACAACTGTAGGTCTCTCTCCATCAGAATGTTTAAACAAAGCATTGTATGTCCTCAATTTTTTAAATAGACTGCATGAGGATGTTTCACCTGTTGGACATCATTTTGGAACTGGAAAATTAAAAACGGGGGAAGCTAAGGTAAAATACAAGGATATCCTGACAGGAGAATGGCTCGGTCCTGTCCCCCTAATTGTTTGGGGAAGAGGCCACGCTTGTGTCTCCACAGGCGCAGGTCCAAGATGGATACCATCCAGACTAGTAAGGATTCACCAAGAAGTTTCTCTCCCAGCTCAACCAGCAGCAGATCCAGCACCAACAGATTCAGCACCAACTACAGGAAGCGATCCCCCATCAGCATCACTTTTGGGATAATACTGTTTCTTGTGTGCAGCATAACACCAGCAAATCAGAAAGACTTAACGTCAGGAGCCCTTGCCACACCTCCTCCAACAATTCCAAATTGGGTAATGCTCTCTGGTCAAAATGTTTGGCTAAACCTGGCACAATCATTAAATACTGACTCTATCTGTTTATCTACCTTAGACCCCTCTCATCCTTTTAAGACCTGTCTGGTAGGAATCCCCTGGACACCAAGAGAATGGGGCGATTTTAGAAATCAATATATCCCCTGGTGTGATGACCATGATCAGTTTAGAAATCCATTCTTAGACTGTCTCACATGACCAGCAAAATCTTCACATGACAGACAGACATTTAGCTATCAGTGGCAGAGACCTGAGGAATTAGAAATCTTGGGGAGTATTATATCTCCTCTCTGTTTTTACTTCGTTCACAACAAATATGTTACCTCTTCTGAATTAATTAATGTCACCTCTTATGGACCTTATTCCAACTTCAGTTTCTGGTGCAAGGAAAAGATTCCTTTCCAGATACATGCTACCCCTGATTCAGTTATTCTTCCAAAAGGAGTCTTTTTAATTTGTGGACTTAGAGTCTGGAATACGATTCCTAGATTAGCTACTGGAGGCCCCTGCACATTTGGGAAATTAACACTGTACAATCCAGCTACCCTTATGAAATCTTTACCTGCTAGTCCTCCCAAAAATCGTGCAAAAAGAAACATTAACCTCCAAACAACCTCACCCATCCCATGTAAGAAGCTCCGTAGAGTGTGTAGGCAATTCCAAGGTTTACACTCATCTCTTAACTAGGGTTTCACCCTAGGCCTTCCTGGAGACCAACTTGTAACCAGGAAGGAACTAGAAAAGTGATCACGGAAGTATTCCATGCTATTCCTTTACGTAACTGGAGGTATAAATAAAGCCAGTGGGAGGGATCGCGCCCTCTTCCTCTCCGGCGAGGTTCGAGAACGGTGGGTCCCTGTTTCGGTCGAGCTTATCTAGAGCCGAGGCCTACAGCGACTGCCGCTATCTGCCACGTGTGAGAGGAGAGCCTTGGGTCGCGTCAAGTCACTCTGCCTGTTCGAAGGGAAGTGGTGAGATTTCTGCTAGTTTGCCTTTGACTGGTTGTTTGACTTGCTCGGTCCTTGCCCCTTTTTGTCTTTCTCCCTTTCCCTTCCCCTTCCCCCCCCCCCCCCCCCCCCGCTCGGTCTTTTCCTCTTTTGTATCTGTCTCATATGTAAAATATATATATATATATATATTTGCTATAGCTTTGGTTGCTTAGTTTTTTTTCCCTCTTTTCCCTCTCTGGGAGGCAGGTCCTTGTTGTCGAGTTTCGGGGAACTTGGCGGGAAGCCAGCTCGAAACTTGTACACCATCACAACCAAAACCACCTTCTCCACCTAAAGCAGCACAGGTCCCTGTGGCTGCAGCACCCCCACCTCCAGCTGAAGAACATCCCTTAGCAAAAATGCAGTTCTTGAGTGAATTCACAGCAGAATGCAATTCCAGCATGCATTTTTGGTCCAACACCATAAACGTTCTAGGTGGTATCAT